CGTCAAATGCCAGCAATTTTTTTTTTTGGAATTGAATTCTAAAGGACTGTATCAAAGTTCAAGAAAAGAAAAAAAAGGTGTTGTCTTGTGTTCCCGTTCTCGACAAAACGGGAAATTAGGCACTTTCACGTTTTAGGACTCGTGCAACGACGGCTAAGAAATGTACAAAAAAGCGTGATGCACGTGCACAGTTGTTGTTTTGATAATATGAACCTATTGCATTTTTGCCGTTTTCGTTACCGTTACCGTCGCCGTCGTCGTTGCTTAAGCTCCCTAATGGCCAAACCACGAGTATGAGATCAAGATCGCTGGATATTGGCGAAGTTCTTTTCTGCGTTTTTGTGGACCGAGACGAGGTCTAGTTCAATAAAATCACAAAATTGAAAGAGGCCAATAGTCGACCGAACAAGCATGATCAATGAAGGATTTATTATATGTCCAAAAAGAAAACTTTCTCTTGCGTGTGGGACTAACGCGGGAAATCCCGAGCGGGCTCGATAGGCCCATCTTACCCGCTCAGGTAGCCAATGGGAACAAAGAATTTGCTTCATCTTGCCCGCTCACGGATTCGGCTATAGAATAGAGAGTTTAAGCATCACGTAGATGGCAAATGGCAAACGTCAGATTCAAGTTGGGAATTTCTCAAAATAGAAAATGAGCAGAAAAAAAAAACAGCTCAAAGCAATTGTTATGGATAAAAAATTGTGTGAAACTACTAATTTATGTGTAGAAATAATGAACAGTAAACGACAAGTAACGGGGAAACTTGGTCACGTGGTACAAATTCGCGTTTGCCGTTTGACGTAAACGTGATGCTTAACCTCTCTAATGACATGTGATGTAGACGGGCACTTCACGAAATTCACCTCGGCAAACGTCAGCGAAATTTGATAGTTGATTCTCAAACGAGCTCGGGTCGAGTCACTCACTTCTAAGAATTCCTCCTCTACGGTTGAGGAAACTTCCGGCAGTTTGAGAATCAGGTCAATCGCTTGTGTTCGCTCAACAAAGTAACATTGCATTTAGACAATAATAACATCATACCTTTCTTCACAAATTGTTTCATAACGGAAGTTCCCAAAATTACGCACACTATTTAAGTGTTGCCAAAGTACTTACCTTGTCTAAACCGGTTTTTGTACGGTTTCTTGCTGTCAATAGCTCCGACTTCTTCAAGCCAACTAACTTTCGAAAAGTCCCAAGAAGTTCCAAGTAGCTATAGAAGAAATGAAATTGTTACAAACCAAAAACTAGTAAACGAAAAAATAACTGATATATTTTTTAATATTTTAGGTAAATTCTTGCCATTACCTGGTAGGTGTGACATAGTTATGTCGCGATAACTCAGCAAGATATTGTTTAGATTTGAGGGCTACTGACTGATGAATAACTCCACATATTGTAACCTGCAGGTAAATAAGGAAAATGTGACTCCTATATGATAAAGTATTTTTATTTCGGCCGATTATATTGGACGGATATTTAAAAAAAATATAATCCGCATTCATCTCAAAAAGTGGCTAGAAGAAAAACGAATAAGAGATGGAAAAGCAATTGGATATGTTATAACGATTTCACTCATAGAGCGGAGTGATTGAAGCAACGATTACTTCATATAAATGTTGTGAAATTTCTCGGTGTTTCTTAAACAACAAAGAGACTGTCCAAGTTAGCCTTCCACGCAGACGTTCTTTAGACTTCGCCATTCGTTCCTTTGTGGGGAGGAACGCTTGACGAGGCCCAAAGAAAATCTGCTTGAGATACGATTTCCAGGTGGGTCAAATGGCGGAATGAACAAAGGTAGATGTCCATTGTAGAACGCTGGGGTTTAAATAAGGGGGAAGAGTATCTGTGGAGACTAGGAAATGTGGCCGTTCAGTCGAGGAGCAGTGACCATTAGTGGAGGTTCGACTATAATTAAAATAGTTCCGAACCCTAACATACCAATCCTTCCATTGCAGAAGAGTCTTCAAGCTCAGGGATTTCTCCAAGGAAGGTGGACGCTACAGATCGGAGAGCTTCTTCAGGCCAAGCTGAGAACCAGTCAATGGTGCAGCAGTTCACAAGAGATGGAAACTGTCGGAGACGAGCTCGAAATATCTCACCAATTGGGCTGTAAGGAAGAAAATTTATTAGCAAATACAGAATTCGCTGCAATGCACGAAAGAGCATGAAGCGGACAGACATACATACTTGCTAGACTGGCAAACTGTTGCCCAATTCACACCAACTAAACAGGTTTAATCAAATAAGGTTTAAAAAATGAAAATCAGTCACAAAAAACTTAAACGCAGGCGTTCACACAGAATTCAAATGGACTTTAACATTTTATATGATTGCCCTAAATTTGCCCTCAATAAAAGTACAGTAGCAGAATACAGATTTAAAACGTGTTTAACTAAACAGCTTCTTAACATGTTTAAGCTCTGGTGTGAATGGGGCAAACCGCATGATAAACTAAGATAAATGATAATGATAACAAAGATAAACTAAGCTAACCATGTAGACGACCTACCTCATACAGACAACTGAATGGGTGTTGGCCCTCACTCGTTTAGTGAAAGCAGAGTATAGATTGGCTTTGGTTGGTTGCATCCCCAGGTCAAGTACCACTGGTTTCATGGCTGTAAAGATCGTGTCCAGTTCATCCTGTGCGAAGATGTTAGGAACATCACCAGCATTCAGAATGTTATTCAGATCTTCCAAGAAACTTTCGCTTTTAATCTGCACAAAAAGAAAGCAGAAATCCCTTCGATAAAAAAACTGCAACAACAAAGACAGGCCCTGTCATCACTGCTTATAAACCACCTACTTATTTTCTCGCAGCCCTACTGGGTTATAAATATCAAATGGTGTCAAATAGCACTCTGTTGACTGTTATCTCCCAATGGTTACCTGTGTATCACTGAACAGAAACACCATGGATTTGTTCTCCACTCCTGATTTCAGCAACACTTTCTTGAGATCTTCACGCCATTCAGGAACACCATAATTCTTCGCCAGTTCGATCTGGAAACACTCATATTCAGCCCTGTAGTAAGGAAGATAAAAAAAGGTAAAGAACGTCTCCTCTGACCGCGGCAGGATTAGCTCAGTCGGGAGACCCCTTGACTGTAGAGCGAAAGGTCGGGGGTTAGATACTCGAGGCCAAACTCAGGGTCTAAAAACAACTGAGAAATGAAGGAACTACCTTGTTCTACAAACGGCTAGACCTTCGCCTGGCTCGGATGACCACGCAAAATGGTGGTCCCGTCTACAATAAAAGACCCCAGAAAGAGTGTCCGCAGTTCGTTCTACCGTGCTACATATACATTGACGCTCAAATAAAGCGCCTCCTTTTGTTTTTGAAGTATGGGACTACAAAGAATCTCGAAAGTAAGGGTTTACGGTGAAGGCCCTTATTTTACGTCGTTAACTCGTAAGAGGACGCATTATACCTCTTTCCATGCATCAGTGCTCCGTTTACCGGTATTTATGGCTACTTATTAAAATATTTACTCAGAAAGAAAAGGAGTCGAAACAAGGATCTGAGGTCACACCAGGGAATCGAACTCGGAACCTCGCGCACAGGAGGCTGCGCACTAACCATCTGCACTATTCCTGGTTCCTCTAAAAATCCCAAAACATTAATGTACAATGTATGTACTTTGTTTATGCAGAAAATCAATGAAATGCACTGGTTAGCTTACAAGTGCTCAGCTCAAATAATTGCAAACAAAAAACCCAAATCAACAAAAATTGATTGAATCCCCAAAAGCAAACCTGTTGGCACTCTCTTGGAGCTGGCCATTCGGCTACGCTGTATCCGTGACACTTTTAATGACTAGGAAACAAAAATTCAAGAAGCTTCCCCCTTAAACTCACATGTGTGCTGCCAGTCTTGTAAGACTTTGGCGTCCACTTCCTCCAACACCCAGCAGAAGGGCGTTGCCGAGAGGCTGACGAATCACACGGCTTATTCGTGACACGTGACGTACGGCGTCAGAGAATAGAACCAGCTTCATCTGAGCGGTGTTGATCTGATTGTAATCATCAAGGTATTCCTCCATGATTTTTACCATCTGTTAAGGGAAGCAAGAAACTTAAAACTAAGGAGAATGCGAGGAGAATTTCGTTATAAACTGTAATAGGCAGGTAAATCTTGACTTATTGAACTGCAGTTTTGTGCCTTTTCGATACTTTCATTGTTGACGTGGCTGGTTAAGGGAAAGCCTCTTTTAACTGATATACGTGAATGATGAGTTGGTCAATCCATCGATGGAAACATATTTGAACTTAAGACTGGTAGACTGGTAGACTGGCTGACTAGCAGTCTGGTTGACTGCCAGACTGGCTGAATGGCAATACGGCAGACTGGCAGCCTGGCTGACTGCCAGTCTGGCTGAATGGCAGACTAGCTGACTATCAGTGTGGCTGTGATTGGAAAACTGGCTGATTGACAGTC